GCCCGATGCCCGCCTGGGCCCTGCCCGGGGTGGGGCGCAGGGTGGGCCAGGGGAGGGGCGCCCGGGGCGGCGGGGCGCTGACCGAGGCGTTTCTTCGCAGGACGTACCCCCGGCCCCACGAGTACCTGTCCCCCTCCGACCTGCCCAAGAGCTGGGACTGGCGCAATGTGGACGGGGTCAACTACGCCAGTGTCACGAGGAACCAGCACATCCCCCAGTACTGCGGCTCCTGCTGGGCGCACGGCAGCACCAGCGCCCTGGCGGGTAGGTGGCCCCGGCGCCCGCGTGCCGCCGGGCCTCGCCTCTGCCCAGGCAGCGGGGACCAAGCCAGAAACCAGCGCCCAGCCCTGCCCCTGGGGCGTGCCCAGATGGAGAGCGGCTGAGAGCGGGCGCCCTCCCCGACGGGGGGAGCAGGCCCGCTGGACCTTAGCCCGCCAGCGAGGCTCGAGCGAGGCAGGAGGGAGGCCGAGGTCCGTGCCCCTCGAGGGCCGAGGTCCGTCCTGCGGGGTCAGGCCCCAGAGGAGACTGAGCTCAGCCTCGGCCCAGCTGTGGGGCGCGGGGGCGGCTGGGATGGGGGATGGGGTGTGCTGTGCCACAGGATGGGGGGGTGGCGCCTGGGCCCCAGACCTGGCCGGGGAGAGCTGGGGCGTCCCTTTGGGGACTGACAGAGAAGTCCCTCGGGGCCAGGCCCCTCCCCGGGAGGGAGGACCAGCGGCTGGGAGGGCTCCCCCTCAGCAGAAGGGGCTCTGGGGGTGTTCCCAGAGCAGGCTGACCGCAGGTGGCCTCGGCCCTGGAGGGGAAGTGCAGGAAGGGGAACTGAAAGCAGAGCCTGGGGGTGGAGGCCACGCGCAGGAGCCGCAGGGCCCGGAGGCCGGGCTGGCGTGGCCTTCGTGGGCTGTGTGGGCCCAGGGCCGGCTGGCGCCTGCCCACCTGCGGCCCCACCACCCGTGGCCCCGGGGGTGGCCCTTTGCCCTCCTCCAGCCTGAGTGTGCTCGGGCCTGCCCCGTGCCCCCAGCCCAGGCCACCCACAAGGGCCAGCGCGGCTGGGCTGGCCGGCCCCTCCCCCGGTCACGCTCACGCGCCTCCCTGGCCGGCTCACGCGCCCGTCGCCTGGCGCCCTCCGCCCGGGGCGCCCTCCTCCCCAGCTCACGGCCAGGCC